GACTCTCCAGGCTGGGCCCCCAGGCAGACAAACCCACCATCAGGCCTTTGGGGGACTTCAGTGCTCTGCTCCGAGGGGTAGGGGAGCTGACCCCTACTCTGAGAGGCCTGGAAGGCCCAAGGGGGTTCTGAGGACACTGGGGACCAGGGAAGAATGATCAGTCCCCATGTACCCCCGCTAAGCCCTCCAAAAGCTCCACTCACCTGCCCCTGAAGCTGAACCCAACAGCCTGAATGGCCAACCTTGGGGCCTTGGTGCCGGGGTGGCTTTGTGACTCACAGCATGTTCCGGCCAATCAATGCCAGCTCCTGGGAGGAGGGGGTTCTAGAAGGCAGTCTCAGGAGTAGGTGGGCCGGACCTGGGTCAGAGCCGAGAGTCATGTTGGTTGCTATGTATTACCAGCCCGTCCTGAGCAGAAGTTAGGGCTCTGAACACAGAAGTGACCCACCTCTACCTCCACGCGTCTGGAAGCAGCCTGTTCCTTGGGCATTTGCTGAGCACCTAGTTTGGGCTGAGATCTGATGTGAGTCTGGGGACACAACCCAAGTAATTTGGGGCTGTGAAACTCAGGAAGGGATCAAAGAGGGGGGGGGTGGGCTGACCCACAGGGGAGGAGTTGGTCTTGCGCAAACTGGGGGAAGGGTGTTTCAGGTGGAGGCACAGTATAGGCCAGCCGTGGGCAAACTACGGCCCGCGGGCCGGATCCGGCCCGTTTGAAATGAATAAAACTAAAAAAAAAAAAAAAGACTGTACCCTTTTATGTAATGATGTTTACTTTGAATTTATATTAGTTCACACAAACACTCCATCCATGCTTTTGTTCCGGCCCTCCGGTCCAGTTTAAGAACCCATTGTGGCCCTCAAGTCAAAAAGTTTGCCCACCCCTGGTATAGGCAAAGGCCCTGAGGTGCGAGCAAGCTGGAACAGAGAGGAAGCTGATATGGAGGTAGGGGAAAGAGAAGAGGGCAGAGAGGGGTCACAATTGGGGCCTAGGAGAGGATAGGGCAGTTTGGGTTTTATTAAGAAGGCACCTAGGAGCCATGAGGGTTTAAAACAAAGAAAACTCTGACTTGCTTCTTCTTTTTAATATATTTTTATTGATTTCAGAGAGGAAGAGAGATAAACATCAATGATGAATCATTGACTGGCTGCCTCCTGCATGCCCCCCCACTGGGGACTGAGCCCACAACTGCAACCTGGGTATGTGCCCTGACCGAGAATTGAACTGTGACCTTCTGGTTCATAGGTTGACACTCAACCACTGAGGCACACTGGCGAGGCTTGCTTCTTAGAAAGCAAGCAGGTATCCGTGTCTGGCTCTGAGGACAAAGGCACCTTAGGGTGGCGCTGGGCCCAAGGCCCCTTTGGGATCCACACACGGCCTGGTGGAAATGGGCATTGACTCTTAGCCACAGTCTTGGCGAAGGAAGTGAAGCTGCCATCCCGTCACCTCCTGGGGCTAGGCCGGCCGAGGCCTGGTGTGAATGAATCACTGCTGGCAAGGCTGAGGCTGACACACACCTTGGCCTCCGCTCAGCAGGTCCCGCCAAAGCCACAACAGCCAGGCCCAGGGGCCTCAGCTGGGCCTCCCAGGGGAGTCGCCAGAGCAAGAGTCCAGCTGCAGATTGGTCTCCAGAAGGATCCAGGCTTAATTAGTGGGTTGGAACTTTCAGCCCCACCTTTCAAAGCTTCTGGGAGGGGAGGGAGGCTGGAGATTGAATTAACCACCAAAGGCCAAAGATGAAATCAGTTGTGCTTATACAATGGAACCTCTGGGATTCAAGAGAGCTTCCTGGTTGGAAGTGCTGGGAGGGTGGCAGCCCAGAGGGGGCACAGAAGCTTAGGGCCCTGTGCAACTCTCCCATCTGGCTGTTCCTGAGTTGTATCCTTTATCATCAGTAAACTAGTAAGTAAAATGCTTTCCTGGGTCCTGTGAGCTGTCCTAGCAACTGATCAAATCTCAGGAAGTCGTGGTGGAAGCCCCCAATTTATAGCTGATTGGTCAGAAGTACAGCGGCAACCTGAGACTTGTGCTGGTGTCCGTAGTGGGGGCAGTTTTGTGGGACTGAGCCCTTCACCTGCGGGGTCCATGCCAATTCCAGGTAAACTGTCAGAACTAAACTGGAGGGAACCGGTTGGTGTCTGGAGAGTTGGAGAATGGGTTCGTGTAGGGGAAAAAACACACAATTGTCATCAGAAGTGTGAGTGAACAGTTTAGGCAAATCTTGCAACCTCCCTCGGTCTCCCTCTCTATAGACTGGGCACACGTGAGTATCAGCCATGTCATTGTTGTTCATCCCCCGAGCTGTTCCAACTTCTGCCCTGGGAGATGTTACCTGGATGTGAACACACCCACATCACAGCTCCTCAGGAAAAGGCCCAAGTGGGGAGACTTGTCAGAGGTCACAAGATGGCAAACTGGCACCCTCAAAACATGGCTCTTGGTCTACTCTGTGTCAAGATACCATCTCAGCATCACCCCCTCTTCTCACTCTGGCGCCCCTCCTGAAATGTCTGCCAGAAGGTGGTGCCAGGTGAAGTCACATGGTTAAAACCAAACCCCAAAGCAGCTCTTAAAGCCTCAAGAAGTGGGCAGACAGGATGACCAGGGCTAGAGAGAACGTGTAGATGGTGAGGTACCACTCTCGACGGCCGAGACTGTGGGCATATGCCATTCTTTGTACCTGCAAATCAGGCATAATTCAGTCACCTTCTGAGCAGGGCTGGGGAGAGTCAGTGTCCAACACACACTACCAGCCCAGCTTGCCCTGTGTCCTGGGCCACCAATGCTCACATCCCCCCGTGGCCCCAAGGCAGACACCCAAGCCCAGGTCTTTGGCCCACACAATAGCAAAGCCTAGAGGAGGCCAGGGAAGAGGGCAGCCTGGCAGTCAGGGCTCTGGAGGTGAGAAACCCAGGTCCAAAAGTCCCTGTACAGTCTTCTTAAAAGGCTGTGGTCCTGGCCTGTGAGCTCAGTGGTTAGAGTGTCAGCCTGCTCACCTAAGGGTCTCAGGTTCCGTTCCTGGTCAAGGGAACATTCCTGGTTGCAGGTTTGATCCCAGGTCCAGGTCAGGTCACATGGAGGAGACAAGCAATCAATGTCTCCCTCTTAAAAAAATAAAATAAATGGGAAAAGTATCCTCAGGTGAGGATTAACAACAACAAAAAGGCTGTGCGATCTCAAGCCAGTCACTCCACCACTCTAACACTTAGTTTTCTCAAAACGGGAGAATATAATGTAGGGGGAGGTGCTTTCAGGAAGTATTTGGAAAATCCTGGGCTTCCAGTTAGTGCCGTAAAAGGGAGGTCCCACAGACAGTACCCCACCTCCGGCTCTAGGTTAGACCACCTGGCTCAGATCCCTGTGCCACTTTCCTTCCGGCCCCAAGACTCAGCTTCTCCAGCCCCTAATCAATAATAAACAGATTGAGCACCGACTGTAAGCCAAACATTGCTCTGTAAACAAACTTAATTTTCACCATTTTACGGAGGTTTACGATTGTTCTGCCCATTTCACAGACAGGGAAACACAGGCCCAGAGTCAAAGTTTCTGCCTTTTTCTTTCTGCCTCCGGCTAGGGCTGTCCCCTTCCCAACCCGCAGTCATTCCTCCCCAAAGGGGACAACCCGCAAACTTGCCAGTTCCAATCCCCGGTTGGCGTCTCCAGCGATCCCCCCGCCCAGCCCGGACAGCAGTCGGCCCGGCGCCCGGGCCCGCCTAGATGGCGCTCGCCCCGCGCCAGAGGTGCGGGCCCCTCCCCGGCGCCAGCTCCCCCTCCGAGCCGGGAAGGAGAGGAGAGGAGGCGCGGGGGGAGGGGAGCAGGCCAGGCCTCGCGCAGCCCGTCAGGCCCCGGCGGGGAAGGAGGAGGCGGAGAGCCGAGCTGCCATAAGGAGACTTTACTGAAAACAGAAAACCGGGCAGAACCAAGTATTACAAACAGGAATGTAGACTCGTAGCAAAACAAACCGGGGGGGGGGGGGGAGAAAAAAGCAAAAAGGGTGGGGAGGAAAGGTGGAAGGGTGTCTGTCGGAAGAACGGAGGGGCGGGGGCAGAAAGCAAGGAAAGGGAGGAGTAGTTTTCTTCTTCCTATTTCTTTAAAAAAAAAACCAACACAAAAAAACACACACGCACACAACCAACGTTTGTTCCCGAGTAGAAACATAAATAGGGCAGAATCGAACACTGTTCTCTCTTCCAAATGCAAAAAAAGTAAAAGAAAAGGCAACGCAGGGCTTCAGGCTGCGCCCCCTCGGAACCCTCTTCAGCGGCGGTGCGTACAAAGGGGCAGCCGGGCGCGCGGGTTTGTGCAACTCGGGATGGCCACGCGCAGAGGGTAGAGGCAGCGTGAGGGAGGGGCGGGGGGGGTCATGCGCCGGCCCCCCGGCAGCAGGGGTTCCAGCTTGTCGACTGTGAGGCGCCCTCTCCAAGTCCTGGCACCATCGGGGGCGTCCCCGGGGCCACGCCCTCTCCAAGTCCGGGGCACCCACGCCCCCCCCCCCACGGGAGGCCGCCCTCTCGGGGAGGGGGGCCGCGCATGCCCCCCCGGGGGGGG